CTGTCTTCTTCTGGATTGCATTATCAATCAGAAGCAGGAGCAGGGCCGTCAGGAGAGAGGGCAAGCCCAGCCCTGTTTTTCTTTCATTTTTAGCACACACACACATTGTCTTTCCAGTGGTAAGAGATACGTATTTTTTATTTTAAACATTTGATTGATAATGACCTTTTAGAAGCAATATTATTTTGTACTTAATTTAAATTATAATTTTTATCAAAATTGACATGGTTGGACAGCCCCCCATTATTTTTTTATTTTTTATTTTTTATGGTTTATTAAACTTTATTTTATGTGCATTGGTATGAAGGTGTCAGATCCCTTGCAACTGGATCTTCAGACAGTTGTGAGCTGCCATGTGGGTGGTGGGAATTGAACCCAGGTCCTTTGGAAGGGCAGTCAGTGCTCTTAACCACTGAGCCATCTCTCCAGCCCCATGAGCATCTCCTCCCATTATAAGTACATTTAAGTAACATTAAAAGAAGACTTTGTAAGGGGGTTATTTGGATTTAGAATGTCTCACAAGAGCTTTGACCTCAGATGATCCTGCTACTGTGCATTGGTAGGCGGGGAACCTTTAGGAGGGAGTACTGGTGGAGCCCTAGCTAACAGACTTTGGGGACACCACTGGCTCTTCCTGCTTACTCTATCTGCTTTCTGACTAGAGTGACGTCACTCATGCCATGGAAATTCTGCTGTGCCACAAGCATAAAAACAATGGCCAAGTGACTCTGCGTAAACTCTCCTCTACTGTGAAGCTAGAATCAACATTTCCTTTCTCTTTTCTGTTATCCGTGGCAAGAATGGAACCAGGGCCTCATGCCTTCTGTGAGCAAAGTGGTATGCTGTAGAGTCGAACCCCAAAGTACCCCCATTTTAAAGTTGTGCTGAAACTTCTGTGCATCAGAAAACCAGGCTGGCACAAAGGGTCCACAGGAGAGAGCCTGGCTCTCAGGGAACCGGTGACGCCTAGGACAGCTCATGCATCTATGTCAGACATGATGATTACCCTCCTCCTCCAGTCCTGCTTCCTAAGTCCCACAGGTGCTGAGGACACAACAGGATGAGGACCTTTACACCCCGTTTGCAGACCTTTCTGGAGCAATAACAGCAGCCTACTCAGTGGTCACAGTAAAGAGGCCATGCCGAGTTGTCTACCATGTGGGGGCAGACTCAGTGTTCCTTATGGGAGACCTTCATTGCAAGTCACAAAGACTAAAAATGCTTGTGGAAAAAAAAACCAGTATTTTTCTAGTTTCTAGGGGTGTGGCTACACAGGGGAGCACTTCCAAGGACTAAGGAATATGGAGGGATTTGAGGGACAGGTGAGTGCTGGCCAGGCCTGCCCTTGCTACAGAGGGGAGAGGCTTGTAGATCTATTTCCATTTGCCTAAGATCTTGGGTTTCTCTGGGAACTGACAACTTTTTGGTTGTGGGCAACCTGTGCTGTTTGCTGACAGCAGATTCTGCAAATCCCTTTACACTGATCCTCCCATGACAAGAGCCTTCTGAAGAACCAAGGGATGGACAAGAGCAAAGCCGCAAACAGTTTCCAGTTTTTCATGCTCGCCTCTTTCTTTCTCAGACATGATGTGGAAGGTATCTGTGTCACCTACAATACAGACATGCTCATTTTGCCTGGGATGAATGAAAACTCAAACAGCTCTGACCTGCATATTAGTTCTCCTGTGTTTTTCTTTCGAGGCCTCAGATGGGAGAGTTTCTGTGGGATTTTCGTGGTTTCTACATAGGATTTTTGCCGATTTCTTGTGATGGCAGCCTATGAACCCAATCACATTACTGAATAAATGTCAAGTTCAATTCACCAACTGTATATTTCTCTGAATGTTCGGAGGAGAGAGCTAGGTAATGAAGAGCTAGGAGGATAGAACTAGTGGAGTTCCTGCTTGCCCTGGAGGCAAGAAGGGTAGGCACATAGGTGTGAATGTACATGGCTTTGAACTAGATGCAGACCAACAAGCATCCACACGCCCCATGTGACTGAAAATTTGTCAACTAGGGAAAGAAGAAAGGTGCTAGGACAAGGCAAAACCAGGCTCTGTTCTACTTCCTTCTCAACACTTGGTACCTGGTCTGCTTCTGTACTGTGGGTTTATCTCTGTGAGAGATGCTCTGAAGGTCATGCTTGTACCAGAAACACAGTAGAAGGCAGGACTTTGTAGTGACAGGTGCAGCGAGTGTCTTAAAGTTGTATTTTCACTGCTGTGGTGATCCATCTATTCCCCGTGCTCCCCTGGAGTCTACGTACCGAAACACATGAGGTCATTGAGGGCTCTTCCCATATCGACATATATTTCTAAACTCACATCAGTTTGGGTAACTAGACCATCTTTCAGTTACCTACTTGTCAAAAACTTAGAAATTATTTCCATTAACACAAAACTTAAATGTGTATAAGTCTCCATTGGTCTGTCTTGACTGTGTAGTTCTGAAGCCATTGTTTTTCTGTGGATGCCCTTCAAAGCCCTGCCCAGACTACTAGTGCTCCTGCTCAGAATCCTGGGTCCTCCCCATTGTTTCATTGTATTTTGTATCCTTTTAAATCCCGAGCTTGTTTTTCACCCAGTGCCTTCATGATTGTGTGTACAAGGCAATCAAAGGAGGCTCCAACTTCCCTGTAGTGTTTCCATTTGCCCAGGAACACAGGCCATCTGAGAAAGCAAGTTAGTTCTAATTTCCTCTGGAGAAAGCTGAGCAGGTATCTGAAGCAGTGTCCTTTGTTCTTTCACGTCCTGCCAGTCATCAGAGGGCAGCTCTTCTAAGCCCAACACGTCAAGGATTGTTGGAGGAGGCCGTGGAGGCACGTGCCCTTAATCCCAGCACTAAGGAAGGAGAGGCATATGGATTTCTGTGAGTTCAAGGCCAGCCTGGTCTAAAAGAAATTGCTGGAGGACCCTAAGTAGTTCAGAGGCTCACTTGGAATTTATTTCTGCCCTTTGGAAATACGCTTATCTGAAACACGTGATAATGTGAAGCCCCGGTGATATAGTTGTAGTCAATACGTTGACTTTCCCAGAAGCATCTACCAGAGCTTTCTCCTGCAGTAACCATGGGTAAGACTGTCCACAGCTTGACTTCCCACAGTAGCATCGTGGGTTCAAAAGTTAATTGATGTTTAATTCTAGATAATTATACTTTTGGAGATCTGGAGAGATGACTTAGTGCTTAAGGGCACTTATTGGTCTTGCAAAGGACCCTAACTGGGTTCCTGGGCCCACACAGTGGTTTACAGCCCTCCTTAACTCTAGTTCCAGGGCATCTGATGACCTTTTCTGACCTCTATAGGCACCAAGAACTCATGTGGTACATATACATACATGCGTGCCAAACTCACACTTAAAACAATCCTAAATTTGCATAGTTTTTAAAGGAAGTATTTCTTCTTCCCCCTCTTCCTCTACCTCTTTTTCTTTTTCTTCTTGAGAATTGCATTATGTTTTTTATCTCAGCTCATAAACTCCTAGAACAGACATTCTTAAAGTAAAAATAATAAAATGTGTTAATAGCTTGCATTTCCAGTGAGAAGACTTTCATTTCCATGCTGAATGAAATCAATAACTTAGCAACTGTCCTCTACGTGCCTGTATTATATATTACAGTCATTTAGCAAATTCAAAGAAAATTCAAGGACATCCATGCTGAGAAAAAGTTTTAAAAAACATAACAAATAGGATATAAATATAAGTTGAATAAAATAACAAAACATTCCATATTTTAAACACATGACCCAATGACTTCCCTTGACATTGATACACGATTCAGGTGCAAAGGCTTTTCGGAGGCTTTATGAATGAACTGGACTTTGAACTAGACTTTGAAAGCAGTTTAAAGAGATGGATATGATATAGTAAACACAAATGGAGGTCATGGGTTGTGATGGGTTTAATGAGAATATCTCCCATAGATGTACATGCTTGAATACTTGGTCCTCAGTGGAATTGTTTGGGAAGGATTAAGAGGTGTGGCCTTGTGAGTGTATCACTGGGAGCAGACTTGAGGTTTCAAAAGACTCCTGCCATGGCCAGTTAGCTCTCTCTGCCTCCTGTTTATGGATCAAGATGTGAGCTCTCAGCTCATCCTGCCTCTCTGCCTCTGCTTTCCCATCATGGGTTCGAATCTCCTGAAATGGTAAGCCCAATTAAATACTTTCTTTTATAACTTGTCTTGATCATGATGCTCTGTTACAGCAGTAGAAAAGTAACTGAGACATGGGTCAACCCTTTTATTTAGGGCAAAATATACAGCCTGTGGGATCTTGACACATAGCTAATAAACCAGGTAAGGTAGAAAATATCAGAATTTAGTGAAAAGTGATCCTGTGAAATCCAAGGAATTTTTCTTACTGCTGGAAAAAAAAAACACCCAGAAAAAGCAACTTAAGGAAGGAAGCATTGATTAGGTTTATAGTTTAGGTCTACAGACTATTGGGATGGAGAAGTTCTGGTTGAGGTAGCTGATCACACCGCATCCTTAACTAAGAGAGTAGAGGCTATCAATGTTGGTGTTTGGCCATCTTCTCCTATTATTTGGTCTGGGGTCCTGGCCTATGGGATTTTGTTGCCAACCAATGGGTTTTAACCTAATCTAGTTAATCCCTCATGGGCATTCCCAGAAGATTCTCTCCTGGTTGTTTCTAAACCCTATCAAGTAGACAATATTAACCCTTTGATATAGCTCTTAGCAGAAACAAGATGTTCATCTCAGTGTCTTTACCTGAGACTCTATGTGTTGACACCTGTGTCCTTCCCTGACTTAGGCATTTGTGACTGTGACCTGAATAAATCCTTATAGAGAATCCAAATCCCCAACAAATGGAAGTTGCTTATGTTTTGGAAACTGGGCCATCAATATGCTTAATTGGAGGAATCTTAAGCACAAACCATAGCTGAGTAAATACAATGGATTTATCTGAGGGCAAAAATAAATTATCTGGCTATTATCGTATTCAGAAACACATAACAAGATGCAAACATCTTTTTCAGCCTGACGGTGTGTGCTCATAAGTGCTAACTACGCTACTGCAGGACTCAGAGATGAGAAAATGAAGAGTCGAGGGTGAGAGACTAGCCTGGGAAAGTGTGAAAGCAGTTTGGAAGGCCGGTGAGCACATGTGCAGAGGATGAAAGCAATATCCTAATCAGCCATGATGCCTGCTCCGTCCTACCGAGTAGCATTCCTCTTGCGAACATCATTGGCTTCACTGTGGAGATTTTACAGAAGAGACCCCTGGGCCTATGTGCTCGTTCACCAGGGCTTTAGTGACACCGAACTAAACATCAACCTTGACAATGACCACTGTTGAAGAGACCCTAACTAATTGCATCATTTGGAGCTTCAGTTCTGAACTGTGACCTTGGCTCCTCACATCCCCCTTTATGGTCCTGGTGTTTGAATCCATTTGGTGAAGATTTATGTTTTATTTGTTTTATCCATGTTATAGTTTCTCTATGAAGCGTTGCTATGAGACGGATTTGCAATAAAGTCTAGCATCCTGATTCTTTTTAAAAAGAACTCTATTTATTTTTTGGTTGTGTGTGTATGTGTTAAAATGTGCACATGTGTGTAGGTGCCTGCATGTGGGTCTGCTTCTTCCTCCAGATTGTTGGCGCATTTGGTCTACAAGGGTGGAGGGAGCGGAAGTGGAGGACAGGATTAGACAGCTGTGGGTATGGTGGAGACAGGAGAGGACTTCGGTGAATCAGCTCAACTTTCTTCCAGAGGACAGGGGATATATAGGATTGGGAAGCCTGGGGACCAGCCCCAATTTGCATAAAGTGGTATGTATGCTCCTATCACATGACTTTGTATGTGACAGCAAGGTCCTGTGGCCAAGCTCTGAGTACAGGTCTTAGTTACCGTCTGTGCAGCAGGGGAAAGACTTCTAGCAGAAAACTGTGCCAAGGGTCATGCTAGAGATAAATCAGGCATCCAGGCTCAGAGACAGTTTTCGGATAAGGTCAGGCCCAGACGTTCTCCAGATAAAGGCAGGTGGACAACAGGAAATCTCGTGGGTGATGAGGGAATCCTCATGTTGCCAAGCTTTGGAGAAAGTAGCCAGGCCCTGAGAGACTGCAACCTCCGAGCAGCAAGACTTTCCAACACCTGCAGATCCCAGAGGAGGGCAGTTAGCCCCTGGAACTGGAGAAACAGGCAGTTGTGATCGCCTGATGAGTGTACCAGCTTCCAAATTCAGGTCTTCTATAATCAGGGCACTCTTGTAATGACTGAGCCATCTCTCCAGCCCCGCACCTTGATCTTGACCTCGCCATCTACTGATTATCTTTTCTCTTTCTTTCTTTCTTTCTTTCTTTCTTTCTTTCTTTCTTTCTTTCTTTCTTTCTTCCTTCCTTCCTTCCTTCCTTCCTTCCTTCCTTCCTTCCTTCCTTTCTTTCTCTCTCTCTTTCTTTCTTTCGTGAGTGATTTCCACTGTAGGCTGGATATTTGGATATTTGGGGTATGATGTCATAGGACTCTGGACCTTACATACAACATGTGAGCCTGCTTCAGCCACCAACCTATGACTCAGCTCTACTAAGAGATGCCTGTGGGCTGCCTCGTTAGTGCCAAATGAGGTGAGAGAGTGCTCCAGGTTCTCTCGTTGTCTCTGCTGATGGGCCAGGGTTGCTTCCCACCTCTCAGGGGCAGCGTTGGTGCTCAGAGGGAGAGCTAGGGGAAAGCATGAATAGGCCATTTTCTGGGAGGACATCATCTCTCGTTCCCGTCTCGATTTCCTTTCCACATGATGCTCTTCATCATGTGCTTAGGATCCTTAATGCACTATGATTGCTTAGCTGGAGGCCGTCTAAATTACTTCCCTGATCTGTCAATCTTCAGCGTGGGAGTGTCTTACGGAAGCGTGACACAGCAAATATAACAAGGAAAGAGCAATCCTCATTTGAAGTAGGGCTAGTGCCCTGTAACCACAGTAACTGGACTGTTTATTACCTAAACTGTGATGTCAAAAGTGAGGGTTAAAAAATGGTGCTCAGTCAACTAAATGGATGCAATTTACAGTTTTTATATTTTTTTAAAACCAGATATGTGTCTATACAAATCAGAGCAAAATACTTTAAAATGCTTCTTTCTCTGTCATCGTTTCTCACCAGAAGACTAAACACATAAGCATCCACCTAGTGCTGGAAGTTCTTGAGTGTATGTAAACCAAGGCTGCTGTGTAACTATTTCATCTGAATTGAGACAACCTGCTCCTGAGGGAGGAGAGAACTTTCCACAGCTCAGAACCTTACAAGGCGCACCAAGGTATCTCTCTAATGTTCTGTAAGCCACGGACAATTGCTGGGGAGCAGGAGACTCTCCGGGAAGCCATCTGCAAGTTGTGCAGGGAAATTTTAGGGATGCAGCTTTCATGAGTGCAGCCTACCGTGGCATGGGATTTTCTGTGGTGGAGACGACTTGGATCGCTCACACTCCTGTGAATAACCTCAGTAGACTCATTGGCTCACGAAGATAGATTTGGGTGGAATTAGTTTTTTTTCAATTTTTATAGCAAAATATTAGATATTTGGTGACCAAATATCCTGCTACAAAGTACCTTTTGGTCACTGATGTTTTTAAATGGCAAAAAAAAAAAAAAAAAAAAAAATTCAAGTAATTGTCTCATTAAATATCTCATTAGTTTACCGGCTGCAAAATCAAAGGTTTTCTCAATTTGAACTCACCCAGATTGGAATAGATACATGTTCAATTTAATATTTCTAGTGAAAAATCAACACTTTAGTGGGCATCTCCCCAAGCTGCTTTGTGCCAGAGCACAGCTGAGCTACAGAGTTTAGACAGCGCAGGACTTCCTGAACTGGAGCCGACCTGCCTGTTTCTTCATTTTTACTGTAAGATTTTCTTCATTGTGATCCAGTTGCCATGGAGAAAACATTTGGCATATCATGTCTCAGAGACTCAGTTAAGGACACCAAGGTAAGCTGAACGAGATGACAGCTACATTCAGAGGGCCCACCTAGATGTTCTAGGCGACTATAGGAAACCGTAAGCTCTGGTTCATTTACAAAGCAAACCCTTGGAACATTCAAACTTGTCCGAATTTGCTTGATGATGAATGATAGACGAAGGGAGAAAATGCGTCTGCACACCAAAGTTTACCAGGAAGATAGTTAGGCAAAGTCAAGTCATATAAACGAATATGCAATACATCTCAAAAGTTGCTATGTTGATTTAAAATGTTTATTTGAATTACTATGTTTAAAGGATTTTTTTCTTTGCAGGACTGGAAGCTGAAGCCAAGTCCTTACCCATGCCAGGCCAACTCTCTACCACTGAACTATCTTGCCCTCTCTAAGCAAGCCTTCTGTCACTGGGCTGTCCCCCAGCACCGTGAAAGAATTCACTCTTGTCTTACGTTATTAATGGATGGGAATAAGTCTATATAGGAGTGACTCCACACGTGGAAAAAGGAAATTTTCTTTGTCTTTGAAATTATTGTGTGCTATGTTCCATGCACTTTTAGGGAAGCGGGCGCAGGCACACCAAGGACCATCCACTGCTCTGGGGAGCAGCAATGCCACAGAGCCTTGAGCTCCACTGTGTGTCACTGGCGCCCTCTGCTGTCTTTACCTGGTACTGCAGTTGGGAAATAGCCAGTGTTTACTGTACTGGATTAAGAGACTGTCTTTGTAGTTTACAACTAACTACACAGTAGGGGTTTAGATTGCAGAAGATTGAAGGTTCTTTCATTACAGTTTTTATTACAGGATATTGAAAATGACTTGGGGTTATATTTGATCTTCATTATTTTAAATAAAATACCTTGTTTAAGGAGTGAACGCAAGAAGCCATACAGTCTTATGACTACCGACATGGCACCGAGCACCCGGATGATGCCGGCCTGGGGCTGACTCACTGTTGTATTTCTGAAACCTCTGATGAGTCACAGATTGCCTGTCTCTAAAACAGAGATGTAATTAACAATACAATATTAGACCAGCAGGGTTTCTTCAGGGATTAAATGGGATCACGAGTGCCCACAGTCTGGGACAGCCTTAACTACCTTTTCCTGTACCTCACAGTTGTCATGCCTGGGTGAATGAAGTTCATCTTCTGACCAAGTCCGGTGGCCTGATCAGGGAATGGTGTGTGAGTCCCAAGAGCCTCCCTGCTACCAGTCTGCAGATCTCCAGACCCCCACACCTTTAGCCGGTTGCTTACCCCAGGCAGAGAGAGCAGAATGTCCCATGCATGACCTAACTCTGGGAGACCAAGACACAGGCTCTTCCAGAGCTTTTCAGGGTAACTGAAGCCCTCACCCCTACACACGCAGTCACACAAGCACAAAACAAAGCAAAAAACAAAGAGGCATGGCTACAAAGTGTCGGGGCTAGTTATCAAACTTATTCATAAGGTGGTGAGCCTTAAGATTGAAAAGTACAAATAAGTCAACAATGAAGAGACAGACTTTATCCCTATATGGTTATACAGATGGGGAAGGGGAGGGCTGAGAGAAGGGAGGTAAACTGGTTGGTATGTAAAATAAATAAAAAAGCGTTATTTGAATAAGAAAGTAATAAAAATAAGAATGTTTAAGGTGAAGGAAACATCTTTTGCATTACTGGTAATTCTGTTACACACCTGCAAGCACTAATGAGCAGAGAAGAACACTCTTCTGCACAGCTGACATGAAGCTAGACTGAAGCCACTAGAAAGCACAAATTCACAGTTCTTCAGAGTCACCCGAGTCACTGATTCCCAGAGTGAGGCTGACCTAGGAATGGACACAGTGTGATGCTGTGATCCCTTGCTGGAAATCCTTCCAATCTGCTGTCACACCTGGAACATATACTTTGATTCTCAGACACTGTGATGATTGGCTTGAATTGTCACCTGGACCCTAGTTAGAGTCACTAGGGAGAGTCTCACTGAGGGACTGTCTAGATCCGATTGATTAATGGGGCGGTTGTCTTGATGTAGTTCATTCATATGGGAAGCCCCAGTTCACTGTGGATGTCCCCATTCCCTGGATTGGGGCCTCGAACCATATAAAGTAGTGGAGACTATTGGACATTGAGAATGCATGCGTTCATGTCTCTATGCTCTTGACTGTGGATGCTATGTGACTAGCTACCCCAGTTCCCTACCTGGAACTGTATACTTAGGTAAACTCCTCCTCCTGCAAGTTGCTTTGGGTGAGAGTGTTATATCCAAGCAACAGAAATGGTATAAGAATTCTATTCATCACCTGAAGCTGAAATAGAGTGAGACACATTTGCACACGCTCAAGGCTTCAGCTTGGAACTCTCTATGCTGTGGGCAGACTAAGCTCCAAGGCTCATGCCAACATGGGGGATCAGCAGAGGGTCCCTGCTGGCAGCAGGATGCTGGCAGAGTACACTTGTGGCCC